AATACCAGCTCCTCTTTCAGTCGGAGTACGACTGGAACCACACGGAAGCCAAACAGCCGGTGGGACTGGCCTTCAAAGACGGCCGCATTCAGGAGAATAGGGGTAAAGTGTTGGGCGGCTCGTCGTCGGTCAACGGCATGGTCTACAACAGAGGCAATCGACAGACTTTTGACGACTGGGCGCACGAGTTCGGGGCCGAGGGCTGGACTTATAGAGAGGTTTTGCCGTATTTTAAAAAGTGAGTCCTTTCTCAAGAAGTCGGGGAACTTTGAAAAGTTCAAAAGTCGCGTACTTTTAGGTTTGAAAACAATACGGATCCGCAAATTGTCGGCGACGGCACATATCATGGAACTAATGGCTCGGTTCAGATCACTTCGTGGCCCCAACCCGTGGATCCAATCGTCCGAATCTATCAGAAAGCTATGAATGAGTTGGGATACAATACCACAGACATCAACGGAGCCGTTCAGACGGGAACCGCTGTCTTACAAGCATTCATCGACAGTCGCGGCCGGAGGTCCAGTATTGCGAACTGTTATTTGGATCCAAATCCTTTTCCCCAAAACCTGGATATCCTGACGGGCGCTCACGTCATCAAAATCCTGTTCAACGGACAGAAAGCTATTGGCGTCGTGTTTGTGAGGAATGGTCTCAAATATACGGTGAAAACGCGTCGCGAAGTCATCGTCAGCGCCGGTAAGTCTCTCTCCTTTCTATCCAACGCCACGACTAACGAGTGTCTGATCCGAAGGCTCCATCGGATCTCCGCAACTGTTGATGTTGTCGGGAGTAGGTCCGCGTCAAGAGCTGGAAAAGTGGGGCATTCCAGTGGTGGCGGACCTCCCGGTGGGCGAGAACCTGCAGAACCACCCGGCGCTCGATCTCAACTTCGCAATCAAAGAGCAGTTCCACGATTTGGTTGATAGCGGCGACTCTGAGTTGACAATTGACAACCTGTACGAGTACTACACGAACGGTTCGGGAGTACTCACCAAATACTATAACTGCATGACATACCGGTCCACCAAATCCAACAACAACACCGACTTCCCGAACGTGTCGCTCCAGTTGGCGCTACTCAAGTACCCCAAAGACCCGTCGCGGGTGACTGTCGTGCAGTTCGAGGCTCAGGACGAGTGGAAGGCCTACAACCGCCATCTCCTCGGAAAACCCTATTTCTTCGTTCAGCCGACGCTCGAGAGGATCCGGAGCCGCGGTTTCGTGCGCCTCGAGTCCACCGATCCGTTCGTCTATCCCGTCATAAACTCGCGCTTTCTGTCCGATCCGCAGGACTTCGAGGATATGGTGGACATCACTTTGTGGGCCTTTTATGTGTTCGAGCACCCGTCGATCGCACCGTATGTCCGGCCACACAAACCCATACCCGGCTGCAAGTTCTGCGCGGAACAGCCCTTCGCACACAAGTGCGACGCCTACATCCGGTGTCTCATCCGTCAGGTGACGTACACGGGCTGCCATTTGGTGGGCTCGTGTCGCATGGGCGCCGCCCACCGCCGCGACACTGTCCTCGACCCTCGACTGCGGGTCAAAGGAGTGGACGGACTGCGCGTTTGCGACGCCTCCGTCATGCCGACCGTCACCAACGGCAACACCAACGCACCCGTCATTATGATCGGCGAGAAGTGCGCCGATCTCGTCAAAGAGGACAATAGTGTTTCGGCTTAGGGTGGGGGGAGTCAGGGGTACAACGGGTGGTGTGGCCCCCACCTCACCAGCGAAAGACCTAAATCGGAATGTCCCTTTTTAAAAGGTAATAAATATATTTTAATTAGTATCGATGTATTCTATAATTATAGCTTAAAAAGAATATCGCAAAATAAAATTCCACTACAATCACAATATTCCGTTAAATCCAATTTTATCATTTACAAAACAGAT